TATACCCGGGTGACACCAAAACGACTGACCGTCCTTTTTGGTGTCACCCGCTATGAACAGTCGTTAGACAAAAATAACGGAAACGATTCACGAAAAAGGAATTTTAATTTTCATCCAATCAAATCACAGCTGCAGAAGCGAGCCCGGCATTCCTCTGATTGCCCCGTTACCAAGCCCCGCATGTGGCCCCGCATGTGGCCCCGCATGTGGGAGAGATTTCATACAACAAAATGCGACTAACAAAGAGTTCCAAAAAGTCCCAAACATCGTCCTTCCAGCGCGGACATCCCAAGTCCTACAAGTTGCAATAAATACGCAGGAAATCAATCAATTCCGACTCTTTTCTCCCAAATTACAAAGTTGCTTTTTGTTTTCACGACGACGAACGTTAAGGATTGTCCCCCGGAGAGCGGGTCGGAGCTCCTCCTGTCGCTTTGCGAGCGCGGGGGTTCATGTACACGAGGGGTGCAGAGAGAGAGAGAGGGAAGCGCAGAGGAGTGAAAGGTCCTTTATAAATAGATTTACAATAAATACAACCCAGCAGAATGTGACGTCTGCGGATACAACGCACATCACCTGGGGGGGAGGGGGAGGGGCTGATTATTATTTGCTTTCTGTTTTGTAAATATATATATTACATGGAATGAGGAAATGGCGTAAGGACCGAATATAGCGGAATGATGGTCCTTCTCCTTCACCCCGGGACTGCAACGTTCTCCTATTCCGGATATTATACCTAGAAGAGGAAAGAGAAGATTGTTATTCCGGGTATCCCACCGACAATATACGCAGCGCTTTGCATGACAACCGTCTGTCTCTGGAATGTTACCAGGGCGACCATTAGACATCCTGGGGCCCCGTGTAGTCTCAGCCCCCCCCATAGTTATATGGTCACAAGGGTCAGCGGATAATCTACTGGTCTCATTACTAACAGGTGCAGGATACTCCCCCGTTATCCGGCGTCCACGGGGATTGGAAGATTCCGGATAAATGTAGTTTCTGGTTGTTTGAGAGTTATTATTAAAAATATGTCTAACTAATGCCATACCCCTTACTATACCCCCAATACTATACCCCACATAATACCCCCACTCCACCCCATACTATACCCATACTACACCCCCCATACTACACCACCATATTATACCCCTGTACTATACCCCCAATACTATACCCCACATAATACCCCCACTCCACCCCATACTATACCCATACTACACCCCCCATACTACACCACCATATTATACCCCTGTACTATACCCCCAATACTATACCCCACATAATGCCCCCACTCCACCCCATACTATACCCCCACTCCACCCC